TGTGGTAAAATAGTATTGGTTTCAAAATGATTACTTTTTCGAGTTCAGAAATACATTGGAAATAGATGCATATTTATCACGCAGTACCATAGTTACATCAACAATTAGGAATTTATATTTAATGGCAAATATTTGAATGTATCATCGAGGCGGGAAATGAACAAGACTGTCTCAACTTTCGATTTTCCGAAATAGTCATTACCCAGATGCTTCCGTTATATTCCAATGTCTGGACCTAAGATGGATCCGATCACCGGATCTTCTGACCGAACCGTACGAATCTGATGGTCGAAAGTGCACGGATGCATCCACCTATAGCTCTTTCTTTTCTCTCTTTTGCTGCACTGTATCGTAAATAAATTCACCGAGTTGTTTCTCGGTGTTATTAATATAAATACAACACTGTAGAACATGAAACACATGATTTTTTTCTGCAAGTTTTTCCACACTGAATAGCGTGAGTCATTGAAACTCACTGCTGTTCGAAGACGTGTCACTCAGTCAGTCACATACACCTTGGGCTAGTCCCAAGAACGGATTCAAAAAATAAATCGTAAACAAGAAGAAAGATATTTATGTTATATCGTATCGTTACATTATATGCCATTAAACATAAATTCCTAATTGTTGATGTAACTATGGTACTGCGTGATAAATATGCATCTATTTCCAATGTATTTCTGAACTCGAAAAAGTAATCATTTTGAAACCAATACTATTTTACCACAGAAACTTTTCTTCTCCATTTTGTTCAGAAAATTTTCTTGGTTTTTGACAATACTTCTCGCCAAAAATAGAAAATCTTCGAAATTATCGAGTGTGCTGATCACGAAAAAGCACTTTTCCCCGACTCTGCATGAATAGTATGTGGACTGTTGATAATTATGTGATGTTTATAAGTAGATATGCATCGGTTAACAGGATAAACACATTTACGTTCACATATTCTCTATAATGTTTTAGAGTGTTAAGACGACCAGGACAGCCATATTCGCGCCATTTCTACGAGATCAATTGTTTTTGATGGCGTTCAATTCTATAACTATATTCTTCAACTTGAACTGCTGTTTTACTACGGCCTGTTTCGGATATTTCAACTTTAGCGATCTTTGACACAGAAAACCGAAGATGAGACGATGTACAAAGAAACGATGACTGTTATACGAGTTCTATCGAATGTAAGCTAAAAGAAACGTTTTTCGACTACAGATACATGTGTGGTATTTGAATTCCAAACAAAACGAGGATAAACACATTTACGTTCACATATTCTCTAAACTATTATGCATTGTGAAAGTCAACATACAGGTTGAATGTGATCCAGACACTTCCAAATCCATCAATTTAAAAAACGCACTCACATTCTTTCTCTTTCTGTCTTACTTGATGGTTAAATAGAATAGAAAAATACTAGAGCTCTAGTAGTTAAAAAGAATACGATTGATTCTCATTCATTCTATTCTCATTCTCATTGTTTTTTCTTTATCTATGACTCATTTTTGCATTACAAGCAAAAGAAAAATCTATGGAATTGTTTCGTAAAAATGAACGTGACGCATGTGCAGGACAGAAAAGCAAAGAAGATACCTCTTATTTGATAGCTACGGCTCTAATGTTCGCATGATTAATCTACTTTTTTTTTCTGCTCTCATCGTTGCGTACCCATAAGTTTTTTCATATAGAGAAAAGAAAAACTCCGCAGTTTTATTTTGAAATGAATAGTAGCAACACATCTAAACGTCAGAAATTTTTCACAAACTTTTTTACCCAATATACTCATTACATACGGAAAACTGCTAATAAAAACCCAAAAGGTTTTCTGAAGACTCTCTCAATTACACATTAGATTCTTACGTACATCTCATATATGTCAGTCTTACTGATTTTCTCCTCCTATCACAAAAATCTCATATTGTGTACATAGTTTTTCCCCTTCAGCATGGAAAGTCGAAAGTAAAGTGGTAACGAACATGCGTTTTATTTAATGCGAGACTAATTCATACAACACAAGAATAAAGAGAACAAAGAAGCATACATATTTATGTCTAATGACTATCTCATGTGTCTTTTGTTGTTGTTTTGTTTATTGTTGAATACGTTTTTGATCACCACCCGACTGATTTGAATATTCTAATGTACCAGGATGACCTTTATCTGTAAATTTGACCGTTTCCGAGTCATTTACGACCGGTTTACCATGCTAGAATTAAATAAGTGTTAAAAAGAGATGGTAGGAGGATAGAAGTAACTAGCGATTTCGATTAGGGGATGTTCCGCTTGTCTGGAAAAAATTACTCAGAAAAAATTTTAGTTACTTACAGTAAGTATTAATATATTTACTAGGAACAGATGCTTTAGAAACAGCTGTGAAATATTCTGTGTTCAGGCCAGAAGTAACAAATGCTGATATTGATTATATGGTATCAAATTTTTATTCAGATTCAGAACGAGCGAAATCTCGCAATGTTAAGATCTATAGTGATGACTATTAATATATTGTTATTAGAGGCGTTTCTGTAAAATCGGCTAAGTAAAAACTTCTCAAAAGGTGCTGCTACCACTAAAGATTTAAGAGTAAGTACAATACGCTTACCAATTAGTAAAAATACAGTTGCTCACTTTTTTACTCAGTAACACTTCCTCTTCTCCTAGAATCTACGTCGAAAATGCTGAAAGTAACATACATCAAAGGTGCCTTGTGCAGCTGATTCGGCGCCAACTGTTTGCGCTGGTTGATCACCAACTTTTGTTGTTTTACTTGAATAGGAATGCGTTTCCCAATGACCTTCCCCTTGTTGCTGCTTTTGGTTGTCAGACATTGTTGGTTGAACGAGATGAACGTGTGTGTGTGCGTATTTTGAAACGACGAGTGTCAGTATGATGAAACAACTGTTGCACTTTTATATTTATATTTATACTTTTTCTTTTCTCTTTCTTCTCTATATGTGCGAAAAATCGGGTATATAGGACTATATATATATAGAAATATATTTCAGCGAACAACGTGAAAACATAAAAGAGAGAAGTCGCGCGAACTTTTATTAATACAACGTGACCATACTTGCCCGCTTTCATGTCGACTTTCTTGCTTCTTCCTATCACTAGTCGACTTTCTTGTCCTAGTTCTTTCAAGATTCTTGTCTCTTGTCATTTCAGTCAAGAGCAGAGTTCCCAGATCCTCAGGTCAGAAATGCGGAAACTTGCGGAAAATTTTTCTCCGAATGCGGACAAAAAGCGGAAACATATTTTCATGGTCTAACTTCATCCGTTTTGACGCACAATCACAGAGTTGCCAGCTGGAGTGCCATAATCGACGCGGTTTTCCGCCGTATCGGCATTGATTGTGGCACCTGAGCTGGCAACTCTGCCGGCACAGAGTCAAAAAAATGTTTTCTCTAGCACTTTGTGGTTTTATTCAATAAAACACAAGAGAAAAACAAACAGAAATGTAAGTCTCGATTTTAGTTGTTTTTTGACTGTATATTTTTGATTAGAATGAATAAGTTTAAGCAGATCTGGCGTTGATAAGAAATAATTATAAATTTCATTGCATGATAACGAGCTGCATGAACTCAGCTGCAATCATTTCTG